AAAAAAACAGTAAAAAGGGAACTATTGAATTGATAATTGGCATTAATTAATAAAATTAATTGTTAATTATGAGTACTTAATTAAATTTTATGTTATATATATATAGGATTTTTTTTTATCATCAATCGAAAAAAACATCATCCCCCTTGTGTGCGCCACTGAATCCTATTGTAAAAGTGTGTTTAGTGTTGTACGATTAATTGTTGTAAAAATAACACGTTAGTGAAAAAACGTCAGGTTTAGAGATGTGAGGCTAGGGTGCGGTAGCCCTGTGGCATAAGCTCCTGGCCGGTTGTGTCATGAGTTCGAGACCTGGTACCATTGAAGACCCACCGTGTGGAGGGTCTGATGCACATTTAAATCTGCCGTGGCTCAAAGTTCTCCTGGTGGCGTGCTGTGGAAATTCAGACGTAGGTGCCAGCTTAGGTGTCGTCCTCGTTGCTTGACCATAGTTTAAAATTATGAGATCCGTCTCCAATAGCCATCATGTTGCTTTAGAGAATTCGACGTTAATGAAACACTCACTTATTGCTTGCTTTACATGAAATATATATTTTTTTTAGTTATGTCAAAAACATTTAATGTTCCTGGCCTTTTTTTTTTTTTTTTTTTTTTGGATAGTGCATTTTTTTTTTGAATTATTAAAATTTTTATTCTCAATATCTAAGCCTTTCAGTTACTTTTTTATAGTCATTTTCAAACCCTGTTATTACAAGAATACTTATAACAACGTTTCTTTGTAATTGTTCTTTTTTTAAAAAAAAACATCGATTACAAGCTTATTTTCTACCGTAGCACATATTTTTCGGAATAAAAATTCAAAATATTTAATGGAAATGGTAAAAAGACACCTGGAAGATTTTCCAACACTGCTAAAAACATAAAAATACAACCTTATGTCGATTTTATAAAATCCCTTTTCGCGAACAAGCTGTTTTTGTGTAATAATAATCCCTTATTTACCACAAAAGACGACTCCTACTCCTAAACCAATTAAAATGTTTTCCTCTTATCATTTTCTTTCTAACAGAAAACGTAATTGAATAATGAGTTTCAGGTTTCCAATTATTAATCCCATTGAAGATACCTTCTTGCTGAAGTGTATAACGTTTTTTCCCTCTCTCCTTATGAATCTCCTTAACCATTCGATTTTTTTTTCTTTGGGGGATTACAGGGGATTGACTCGGCCTAACAGAGTTAATGCCCCTTAATATATTTACTCAGTGGCTTTGTGTCCGCTCTCTTAGTCCATTCCCTCTATTGTGGTCTTCTTTTTTTGTTGGACAGAGCTCTCTCGTCTGAGTAGACTCCTTCTTGGAAGGTTTTTCTTTTTGTTAAGATTGATACTTCGGAGTTAATAGAAGTAAAGATGTAGCTTAAGGATTTTCAAGCCTTCGCTTTGTTATTTTTATTTTCTAGTTTCTAGTTAATTAAGGAGAAAAAGAAAGAGATAGATTGGAAAAGGTTCAGAGTTTATTTTGTTCATGCGGTGAGCTGTTTTATTACGACTTACTGTCAAGCTGGTAAAAGTGTTTCACTTATTAGTATAATCCTCTTTTACGGTTCTTTTAGCTATGTGTTTCTGTATTTGTTTATTACATCCCATTGAACTTGTTATTTTTTTTAAAAATAAGTTTCTGCTTGAAAGAGTATCGAACGATTTGCGATAATCTGTTTTGGGAAGGACATTTTTTTTTTCTGTTTCGAAGTAGTTGACGTTATACATTTTGTTTCATCAAGAACAGTGAAGTGTGAAAACAAAATTATAAATTGTCCGTAAATGATGTCTAAGGTCAAGGCACTGATTGAAAACATGAATAGCTCTAAGAAAAAAGAATTTTAAGGTTACATAGTACGATTTACACAAATTTTTTTTAATGTAATGATTTTCATTATTTTTTTGGTTTCCTCATGTGTATGTATGATGTAAAACAGATTTTGCCAACCATTTAATTTTTTAATGGAAAAACTTGAAACTTATGAAGTGATTTTAAAATGCTACTCCTCCTATAAAAAGTAACGTACATATTTGAAATCTGACTTATAAATACGTCACACTATGTATAACAAAGGTTGGTATGGGTTTTGCGGTGATATGATTGGTATTCGTACAATACTTTTTTTTATGAATGTTTATTGAAAATTCCTTAAAAAATGTGTAAATTCTAAATTAAATTATTTTTTTAAAAAATAAGTATTGCTTTGATTGAAAAATGCATACCAGCTTTTATTCCATGTACTATTAACAACAAGTGGAAAAAGTTCCATGTGGTAAGGCATAATAGAAAAAAGGCTTGGCATTTAAAATGAAGACAAACTAGTTATTTTATCTTTCCGAGACAAGTCAGTTTAAAGTTTTGATTTGCCATTGGGATGTGAATAAAAACGAACGTAAAAGTTATCACAACTCTGCGTTTTTTAAACTTAGAGCTTTCAAATTTTGTGAATTTTTAGAAAAGTATATAAAAAATAATTTAGGCTGAAAAAATTAGATTTGATTTTTCGACCGATTTTTGTCAATTGAATCGTACTGTGTTCCCTCAAAGTTGTCATAGATCTGGACCGAACATTTTTCAAAAGAGCAAAATGCCCCGATATACTTATCTAAGTTCGTTTGGTTTGAAAACATTCATTTCAACAATTTCCTTGGTTGAATGAAATTGCATTCCACTGACCGACTCATTTGCATATATAACATTATCTATACAGCCCGTTGTAAGGTGAGAATTTCATACAAATATTGAAACGTTTTACATTGAGGAGAAAAAAATTCCCCGAATTCTCTGTCCTAGTGTTTAACATTAGATCTCTCTCATCTCTCTACTTGAATGCAACAAAATTTCAGACTCTTGATAATTTATTGGCTAAGGTTGCGAATTGTGTATGGCCATCTTAATCTGTCATGGTTTCGAATCTGGATTTGGGCCGTGGTAACCGAATGGTTTGGGTCACGAGCTCATGACGGGTCATGGGTTGAAATCCTGGTTCCAGTAAAGACCCGCTGTGTAGAGGAGACGATGCATGTAAGATTTGTCGAGGCGCAAAGCCTTCACGTTTGCTTAGGTGAGTGAGTGAGGGAATATTAACATCGCACTGTGCAGCTACACAAGGGCTTTTGACGTCGGACCTCGTAATTTTGAAACATGGTCAAGTGACGACACCTGAGCTGGCACCCCTCTCTCCTAACTACCACACGACACCAATGGGAGGACATTTGATCTCTCTACAGATTTAACGTGCATCACTTTTCTACACGGAGGGTCTTCACTGGTACTCGGCTCGAACTCATGGCACGCCAGCCACGAGTCCGTTACCTTGACAACTAGGCTACCGCGCCCACAACACATTTTCTTTGTGTGGGAGCTCGGAGAGGGGGTGCCGATTCTATTGTCGTCCTCGTCACTTGACCGTAGTTCAAAATTAAGAGGTCCGTTGCCAATATCCTTCGTGTTGCCTTATAGTGCGAAGTTAGTGAGCAGTCACTTACTGGGTATAATGAGAGTATGATAACCATCCTTTTTTGTGGTTTTAGAATGATGTTAATTCAGTTCTTCCACAAATTTAACGAAAAAGGTTATGTCAATGCTTTAAGCGTAAGGCATTCCTTCGAATATCACCATCTGTGACTATTATTCTAGATTACTAAGTTTGTCCCCATTTCGAATAAAGTTCAAAACTCATTTCATAATTTTTATGTTGTGTTAGTTAAATCAAATCAAAGCAACAATTCTTTAAAAAAAAAAAAAAAAAACCTGATAATTATATTGTTTGACATAGTCTTTGATTCGTTTATTTTCTCGCGAATTCTCTCTCTCTCTCTCTCTTTTTTTAATAACAAAATCTGGCTTGCAAAAATGTAGGCTTAAAAATAGTTTTGAAAATGGTAAAGAGGGGGAAAAATTGTATTCCCCCCCTACAATTCACAGAATTTTTATTTCGATTTAATGCTTTTATGCCTGATTCTAGAAGAGTCGTTGGCATTTTTCTATATATTTTCCAATATAATCCCAAAAGCTGTTTTATTTCCAATTAAAAAAAACGCAAATGTTTTCAACGCAGATTGAAATTAAGGTATGCACTATGGGTACACAACTTCATTGTTAGAACTGAATGTAATCCTAGCTGCTGAAAGATCCCGAACAAATACATGAAGTTAAATTGCGTTTTCTCTCCATTTAATGTATACCATTATGAAAGAAAAACATGCACGTAATAAGCGAGCGCCCCGCCTAGTTCCTTGGATCATCAAAGCGAGATAAAATGCCACGGGTCAACCGCTTTTTACGATGGGAGGTTTGTGAAAAGGATAGCATTAAGATGGCCCTGCGGAAGAGTTATGTCCATGTTTTATGACACTTTCCGCCGCTTTTGTGCACCACAGAATAGAAATTGACTTTCAAGGTCAAAACCATATCGTCTTTTAATACAGTTCGGGGGTGTTTAGTGCTTTTTCATTATATGTTTCTCATAAACCCCTTTCTAATTGTGTAGCATAAGAAATATCGAATAGTGTCCCGGGCAGAGAACATTTATTTCATCATTGTCTGGATTTTTTTTGGAATAACTAAGATGAGAAGTTTTTGTTCATTTAATTCGCCCTATTCTTTCTACGGCTGGAAAAGGTTTTAAATTTTGCGGGGAGACTTTTAATTACGGATATCGAAGAATTGTGTCTTGAAGCAAAGTTAAATTTTAGGAAAAGCGAAGTTGAAAAATAACAAGTAATATGAAAAAAAAAATTAAGTCAATTCCTTCTTCGGTTAACAAAGAAACATTTTATTTACTTTTTATTAACTAGTTGCAATTAATATAAATATGTATATACATATGACAGAATCACAATATTAAGTGACAAAATAGAAAGCTATTTTGCATTTTCCTTTCTATATATATGGTGTTGGACTATTTTGTTTGTTTGTTACTATTTATTCATTCATTAAGTATAATTATTCTAATAAAATAGTATAGTAAAAAAGAAATCACATTCTCAGAAATTAAACTATTTCAGGTGGGACTCGAACCCACGACCTTTGGATTAGAAGTCTAAAACGCTATCCATTGCACTACGACCGATTTTCCTTTTTATATATGCTATTGGACTATTATTTTGTTTGTTACTATTTATTCATTTTTTAATTTAATGAATGAAGTAATATTTGAAAAAACTATATTAACATCAAGTGTCATCCACTGCAAGTTTTAAAAATGTATAGGAACTTGAATGGATGAATAGAAAGTATTTTATTAATGATTGAAAATTTGAAAAAGATATATATATATATATAGGGGAGAGTGTGAACTAATTGTAGGAATTGAAAAAGTTAAGAGTTTGAAAGGAGATTGGAAACTCACATAACTGGATTTTAATAATGAAAATTAACTTAATCCTTGCAATTTCTTTCTTCTTCTTTTTTTTCCAATTTGTGCTGCTGAAGAGAAATGCGACTCAATTTTTTTGTTTCATTTTCAAACATATTTCTCCTCCTTTTTACTCTTATCAAAACTAAAAGTATGAATTATTTATTTACAAGCATTTTTTGTGTAGAATCCTAAATCTTATGATATACATAAATATTTTATAGAAATAATTTTCATTTTTGATGGTAAAACAAAAACAAAAATTAATAATTTGCGATAGTTAAGTTTTAACGACTAAATTTCTTCATATATTTACGACTTACTTTTACCTTGTCAATTTTAAAATCGCAAAGTGTTCTTTTTCTTTCCTTTTTTTATTGATAAGACTAAATTTTTTGTAAAACATTTCCAAACAATTTAACCTTTTGGTGCTAGGATGGTGAAACTATTGCAATTTTCTCTTTATTGGTAAACATGAAGTAATCGTTTTTTTTTCATAACTTCTCAACAAATTCAATCTTATTTTCCAATATTCTCCTTCCCCCTACTAATAAATACAAAGAAAAAGAACCGCATCTTTTTTCTCCCGCCATCCATCTTTTGTGACTATAATTAGTAATTAAATATTCTCGCCTTGCACGCTCGGATTATCCTTTTCTTTTCTCTTTGAAACTAAATCGCCTCTTCTTTCTTTTTTTTTCTTTAGGCTATCTCATTATTTTTTTAAACAAATTGCGAGCTTAAGTAGTCCATCACTTATTACTTCGTAGCAGATTCCAAAGTTCTTTTGTCTGGTCGCGTTTTGATGTGTTCGATTTATTATTGATGCGGAAGAAAAATCAGAAGATTCCTTTTTTTTTATTTTACCACTTTCCCTTTCAGGGATTAAAAGCCTTCTCGTGAAAGTGTTTCATTAACGAATAGAGGGAAAAAAATCGGCGTGAAGTCCTTTTTTTTTTTATTGTAATTGCGTTATCGGATGCTTTATTACGTATTATCTGGAGCGTAACAGGAGTTTGTTACATGCATCTTTAGTTTTTTGAATTGCTGAATAGTCATTTTCTTTTTAATGGGGAAAAAATTCACGCTATCTAATTTTTGTCAAGGGTTTAAAATCAATTTCATAATGATGAATTGCTTACTTTTGAAAGAAAACAAAATTAGCTTAAAAGATTTTGAAAAGTTTTAGTCATTTTGTTCTGGGGGAAAAATAGCTTTGAACTTTAAGAACTTTTTTTTTGCAAAATAATTTTTTCAAAGTGTTTTTCAGAGACATTTTTCTTCCCATTTCCCCCTGCGATTGGGGTTGTTTGAAATACGATAAATTTTAAGAATGTTTATGTATTGATGACAATTTGTTTTAAAAATATAATTTTTTTCAACATGAACACACCATGAGAAGGACCTCGAATGCCAAACTAAACTCTTTTTATACTCTCCTCGAAGTTTAAATTTTTAAAATATTTTATTGTACCTCCCCAAAAATAGTTTTAGCAGATGTTCATATGATTGATACGCAGTTCTAGTGAGAACTCTGTGTTTCTTTTCAACTCCTGAATTCAGCCACAAAAGGAGGGGGGGGATAGGGAAAAATAGACATTATGAGGTGGAAATTTATCCCTAATTCTCTTTAAGGGATAAATTTTTTTCATCAAAAATTAAATATGAAAAGCAAATTTTTTAACGATTGTTACTGAACATTTTTGCTAAACAGCATTAAAAGTAAAAACTATGTTCTACATGACGATATGGAAATACAAATTATCCTGTTATTTTTTTAAACCAAACAAAGGCAAAAATATTTTTAAATCTTAGCAATAGAAAAAACTGCGTAATACATTCAATCTCTTTCAAAGTTTGTTTCTTTTAAGATAAAATTCTGGTACAGCTCGTGTCCTTGCGACGAGGACACAAAAGTCAGGTCATTTTTCAGCATTGAATTCTGGAGATCGGTCCTGCGATAGCCAAATGGTCATGGTCGCGAACTCTTGACCAAAGTTGTCGAGTCGCAAGTTCGAAACCTAGCGCTACTGAAGACTCGCCTTGTAGAGTGAGTTAGTGACTATTAACGTCGCACTATTCAGCTACATGAGGGCTTTCGGCGACGGACCTCGTAATTTTGAACCATAGTCAAGTGACGAAGACGGCACCTGAGCTAGCCTTCCCTCTCCGAATTACCACACCACACCAACGGGAGGACGTTTGAGATCTCGCAGATTTGTCGTGCATCGCTCCCCTACACGGTGGGTCTTCAGCGGTACTGAGCTCGAACTCATGACACGTCGGCCACGAGTCCGTTACCTTGACCACTAGGCTACCGCAGCTACCTCGCCTCGTAGAAGGGCTGATGCAAGTCAAATTTGTCGATTCTCAAAGTCCTCCTGTTAACATCGTATGGAAGTTTGGGGAGGGGTTGTCAGCTCAGGTATCTTTCTCTTCTTTTACCCGTGGTTCAAAATTACTAGGTGCGTCGCCAATAACTCTCGTGTTTCTTTATAGCGCGGCTTTAATAAACACCCACCCACTCACTCATTTCCAGCCAATCGGCTAAAAATAGATTAATATAGGATTTTCTTTATTTAAGTCTTTTATTTTCTTTTTGGAAAAAAAAATACCAGATATTGTTTTACTAGGAAAATATTAATTTAAAAACTCTATCTTCAAAGAATTTTTATTCACGGGGCGAAGATTATGTTTGTGCGTCGAGCGTGCACTTTCTTCGGGGAAAATGTATGTATTGTTTGCCGAACGGGAAAAGCATGTTTTCTTTTCTGCAAAGATTCCAGGATGTGTATTTACATTTAATCCCACGCGAAATGAAGGAAAAATTGGCTCTCTCTCTTTTTGTTGTATACCTACAGCAAAAGAAAATATTGAATGGATTTCGCTGTTTTTGAGCTTGTTTCTCCTTGGTGACATTTTCAACTCGATTTATTTCTACCTCTCTTGAGGCTTGATTATTTTCTTTTGTTTCCGAGATCATGATCTGGAAGAAAAAAAAGAGAGAAATGTGGGAAATTCTATTGATCCAGAAGTGAGATCGATAGAAAAGAAATGTGGTGAAATTGCTGACGTTTCTTTTTTACCGAATATCTCTTTTTGTGAATATTAAACACCTTCAGTTTGAGTATAAAATGGGATTTCGGTTTTCACTGATACCGTCTTTTTTTCAATATACGGTTTAGGATCTATTTTCTTTGCTGGTTATTTTTATGATACAAAAATCTATTGCGATGAATTTTACGAGTTTTTCCTTATTGAAGTTCGTTTGTTATTTGAAAATATTGCGTTCTTTTACAGCCGAGTTAGAAATGCTGCAGTAGAACATGGTCTTTTGTAAGATGCAAGACTTTCCCCCTTTATCTGTAAAAAAATAATTCCTACTCTGAAGTGATGAGCTAAACGGTGAAAGGGGCGATTATGTATCTAAACTAAACGATTTACCCAATTTTCCAAAATTGCATGTAATATTTTCCAGTAATTAGTCAGGAAATAGTAATTTTTTTTAAAAAAGAGAAGCATATTCAAGAGAGTCAATCTTACTGTAGTAATATCGCTATTACAGTGAAAATCGCTTTACACGAAACTAAGGATACTGAAATACTTTTTCGTTCTAAAGTATATTTAACGAAATTAAGTTTATTAGAGTACACACACATTTTATTTACTTAGATATGTATTTAATAAAAATCTATGAAACAAAAACATTCACTAGAGCTTAATGAAATTTAAATACAAAATTTTCGAGTTTTCTGGAAAACAAAACATTTATTGAGTTTTAGGAAAATAATCAGATTTTTCTTTACACTGCCTTTTTTAACATTAAATTGTCAACAAATTGTTCCATGTCGTCCATTTTGTTATTCATTTCACCATTGCAATCTGCGTCTTAATAACTGCGCATACATTTCATGATGTTCCTCCTTTCGGATAACGTGGGAACAGAAGCTGCATTATTCCTTTCATTTTCGTCTTTAAAATCAGCATCAATGATATTTTTTGGTTTTTGAACCATTTCCAAAATATCTTTGTCTGCCATAATTGAGGCTGTACACGCATTATCATCCATCTACTGCAATGAAATTCTTCCAATTATGAACCTGGTGTTTTCCGTATTTTGTTCATTCCCAGAAAAGAAATCTTTTCCTGTTAAATGATTTTCGTTTAGTGTTAAGAGAAAAAACTACGTGAAAATACATAGTATTTTCTCGGGACTGTTGTATTATTTCGTGTTAACCATTTCGTCTTAAGCGTTTTTGCGTTAAATGTATTGAATTTGATTATTGATTCTACTTAATGTATTCGTGTATAATATAATAGTTTTTTCTGATTCTATTTAACTAGACTTCCAAAATCACATAATACGTTTATGCACAGATAGTCCTCCTTATTACTTGAATTTTGCTGGAAATTTCAGTACTATTAGCCAGTTGAATATTTTTCAGTTAATTGAAAAAAACTCGATTAATTCGAAAAGGTATGATTTCAAAAGTATGCCCTTTATATTTTAAAGTTTACTATCGTGGTAATCGTTTGTCTACTTAGTTTGTGTGTCATTAAGATTGTCTTTAAAAAAATTTAATTTATTTCCTACGTTGTTTTGTACTTACAACACGATTCGCTTAAAAATAGACTATTTTAAATAACAAACAGTATTTTATAATACTGTCTAACCGTGTTTCTTTTTATGGATGATTAAAACTTATTTCAAA